ACCGTTTTTTCAATCTCACGGCTTTGTTATTGCAAATTTCGTAATCGGACCACCGCCATTTTGTAGCTATTTTTATTACGAACAAAATCATGTCCTAAGCATTTTTTCGTACAAAGTCATCCCGCTGAGTTATTTAAAGAAAACTACTAAAAAAATTTTTTTTTACGATTAAATTGTTAATAACTTTTTTTCCTGATAAAACATTTTGTCAGCAAATTAGCCTGTTATTATACTCATCATTTAAAGTAGACCTGTGTAGTTATTTCCGAGTTATCAAGAAATGTCACCAACAGTAACTTTTCGGCCTCTGTCGACTGGAGTAATAAGCGTTTCAACGAGCCCCCTATTGCCTTGTTTCCATTTGAAAAAAAAAGTAAGGGTAGCTGGTGGTTAGGGGGTTGAGAAAAAATTAATTATTATATAACCGAAAGATGGGAAAAAATCAAAATCAGTTAACGCGTTTCAGCGTTTTAAAAAAAATTAACTCATTCAAAAGCTATGAATTTTATTCCGTACTTCTGGCCATCCCTGTATACATTTTCGAAACCGAGCGAGTTGCCCTAACCAAATTTGGACAAGATATAGCTAATACGATGCGAAACATCGCCTTAATGTTAAAAATGTTGTTCTTGGTGGTGAAAATTCGAAATATTTGGAATTATTCAATTTTCGAGGCCGAAAACATACACAAGTATTGAATTTTCGAAACCGTGAGAGCCCTACATGCGAAACACCCTGTATAATATTTTGTATTGCGCGTCACTCAAAGAAATGATCCCGCTATAGGTACACTTTATAACTTTATCCCTCATCTTCGACGGCATCCACAGATTTTTATTGCCATTCCTTCGGTACTAAAAATTTAGTATCCCCTACATGTCTACAAGACGGATTAACCGATATAACTTCCACTGCGTCGTGCATCAGATGGAGATATAAAACTACCCCGAGAGCCGCGAATGTAATCCATGAAAAGTTGCATCCTCGGCCGGAATGCATTTCGATGTTCGCCATAATGAATGCCGCGCACATGCTTGCCGCATAAAACAAAAGTTTCGGTCGTTCAATTGTTTTATTTGCGGTTTATGTTGAGGTCTCCTTCATCGCGCACGTTTTCCCCGAATGTGCATGTGTGCATTCGGCGTCGCAGCGTAATGGCCATGTATCTGGATTTGCCAGAGGGCTGGCTCGTCGACGGTAATCTCCGGCTACCGCACGGGAAGTAGCATAACGTTCAAAAAGCACAGAACAAATTTTATGAATAGTTTGGTAAATAAAAGACCACTTTTTAAAATTGATCAGTTGTATACAGGGTGTGCCATTTAACACTCCCGCTGCCAATATCTCCGAAATTAAGAAATTTATTTTAGATTCGGAAATTGGGGTTGTTAGGTCCCTCGAATAGCTTCAAATTGCAGTTGGAACTGTTTAGTTCAAATCTTTCTATATAGATGGCGCACTATAATTCATTTGGACTTAGGTATGGACAAAATTAAGTAGCGCCTCGAAGAAAAAAGATAAAAAATAAAACATAAAATAGCGTTTTAAAGCTTAAGAGGAACAGACTGCGGGAAAAATAATCATATTTCACCAGCACCGCATTTACACCCTCAAAATTGAGCCCCAAAATTATAATTTTGGAAAATATTTACATTTTTCTTCTCTCTTGTTTGAAAAAAAAAAATCTCAAATGATACAAAACATTTTTTTATAATTTTTGAGATGAGGAATAAGGATCCATTGTTTAAATTGAGCTAAAAAAATTTAGAACCCTTAAATTTACGAATATTTCAGTTTATAATGTTTTTAGCTCTGATTTCCGCTCTATGCAGCGATTTGCTTGAAATTTGGAAAGTAGGTGGGGAGTAGCTCAAGAAACAAAATACATCCTATGTTGATATGTATTTTTACCCTGGGGTGGTTTCTACCCCTTTGTAGGGGTTGAAAATAAATTTTGCCAAAATAATCCCGGAAATCGATAGAGCAACTAATTTGAAGCAAAAAATGTGTCATACAGTTTTTTTGATAAACCAATACTTTTTGTTATTTGCGATTGAAAACCCAATTTTTCAATTGAATATTTTAGTTTTCAGTTGCAAATAACTCAAAAAGTATTGGTTTATCAAAAAAAATTGATTGTTTCAAATTAGTTGCTCTATCGATTTACAAATTTTTTGTATTTTTCCTAGCACTTTTTCGTAAATTTTTACTATTTTTGACCTGTTTTTAGAGGTTAGGAAATTCTTGTGATCCGATAGCTCAATTCTGACAATGGATTCGTGATCAGGAGGCAAAAATACTACAACTTTTTTTTTTGTGGTGGTAATATTTATGAGCATTAAACTTTTTACGAATTATTCGCTTTTTAATATTTTCCAAAAAATTTTGATTTCTTTGAAATTTCAAGTATAATGAAATTATTAAGTTTGCAACACTTAGTGTGTGTTTTTTTTGGAATAGAATTGGTAGTTCTTTCAGCTGGTGTAAGTGCCAATATGTTTTTTCAGCTTCTACCTGAAATAATACAGATATAGGAAAGAAAAAATAACGTTTCTCTCAGGAAAGAAATAACCAATTAGCCACAAATTAAGAAAAATATAAGATAATAATATATGATTAAGAATGTGTTTTCACAGTAAATTCTACAGCACGTACTAGTAAACCCTAATTAAATGTTATTTTAATTGTTCCATAATTATTATCAAAAGCAATGGGATGTTTAATGAAAATAAAAACATAGGTACGTTCTCATAACTATATAGTAACAGTTTACAGAACACAAAAAATAGTAGGACTGATATTTTATAGATGGCATTTCCAGCAATCGAAAACGTCTGGATATCTAAGATTTCTTTGCTGCTAAAAGTGCTTAATAAAACTAGGGCAGTATTGGAAAGATTAAAAATTAAGTTAAAGTGAAAAGGAAAGGAACGTTGTGTATAATGTAGTGGCTTGAAACATATTATTTGGGTTTAGAAACTCAAAAACTATAACAGATGGAATAATAATTAAATGAGAAAGGTTTCAAACTTCGCAGATCGGCTGTAACTGTTCGGATTTTCGCGATATTTTGAAAAAAAAACTAATTCTTTTATAATTTTTGAAAATTTAATACAATGTTTGTAAATGTGCTATGATTCAAATTTTTGTTTTTAGGTTACGGTTTCCTGAAACCACCATTATTTCCTACTTAGGCTTATCAAATCTTATACTGAACAAAAATAGCATTTTTGAAACTTTTCAATAATTTTCTTACAAAAAGTTTTTACAGATGTCTAAATTCTTCGCAAAACTCATTTATTCATATTTTTGAACTTTTGCGATGCGTCTTTATGGAAAATGTATAGTTTAACGTTATCAGTCGATATCTACCTTTAACAATTATGTAACAGCAGCCAATTTTCGTTGATGGAGGACAGGTCTCCTAAAATACTAAAGAAAAAGCATTTGGGGAGTTATTTCGGGCATATTTTCTTAGGAACCTAATTTACTTTAATGGACTTATTTTCTTCTCAACCGCAATCTAACTTTAAATGCTACATTATCCAAGTTTATCGACGAAATAGAACTTATTCCGTATAACGTGCTGTTTAGATCGTACTTCTTTTAGATATTCTTACAGGAAAAAATAATATGTTCTCTCAGAAACTGTTCCAGTCATTAGATTTTTTATGCTGACAAATTTATAATAAAATTAAATCGCGTTTGCATTACGATGCATTGCATTGGTATCTTTTACTTCTTTTTATTGTGACGTAAAGCTCGATTCAACAGAAACTTCTATAGTTAATAATTTCATCTATTAAAACCAACAATTCTGATTAGTAAATAGTCGAAACGTTTTCTTGTTTCAGGCATATGTGGACTTAGTGAAGGCCTGGGGTTGGAAGTCATTTACCATCATCTACGAGAATAACGAGGGTCTCGTCCGGTTACAGGAATTACTGAAAGCTCATGGACCTTATGAGTTTCCCATCACAGTGCGTCAACTAGGAGAAAGCTCGGACTACAGGTAAATTTTTTTGTTTCAGTTTTTCAGTGAAAATTGTTTATTTTTTATTTTTTAGTCACTTGACAACACAAAATAATTCCATTGATCAGGACAATGATATACTTACTTGAACTTTTTAATTATTAAACAATCATCAGTACAATTTATGAATGAGTTTATCAGAATACACATTTCTAACATTAAAACGGAATTATAGGTCGTTCTGTACTGCACATTTTTCTCGTGGGACCATAAAATAGATATTTATAGATCGTTACAGAATATCTCTATAAGTTTATGTTTCCCTTAAAAATTTTATATACAAAGGAAATTTTAAAGTAGAGGAAAAATAAAATAGTAGTTTACTACACGGCTTTACTGCAGTTTGTTGTGGGTCAGATAATTCCAACGTGGAGGTTTTATTTGGAGCAAAGATATTACTGTGCTAGCAAGTTGTCTTGCACATCCAACATATCTGGACCAGTATCTTTAAATACCCAGTTTCGCGTTTTAGAAAACAATGTAACATGAAATTTGAATTTTCTGTTTAAATACATTTACATAATGTTTTATTTTAAAAAACTCTTGACTTGTTCAGTTAGTCACAAAGAAAGTTAATCCAAGTTTTCAATGTAAACAGTATCGTAGAAGTGAATATTTAGTAGGTATCCTGTGTCTTACGAGTAGTTGCTGCAGGCACTATTTCCATGCCTCCGACAAGCCTTGTGTCGCATAATGCTGGTAATGGGTTTTAAAGTCCCAGGAAAATTACCGCCTTCATCCCAGTTAATGAATTTACCTTTTATGCAGACTTTCTCACCCCCCGAAAGTAACTGAATTACACACTATGCTTCAGTAACGCGATTTCAGCTGGAAAAGCTTCGGATATGGCGCAAAAGAAAATTTAATAGTCTGCAAGGCGGGAAGTTTTGAAGTAGTTTCGGCGAAAACAGCCAAAGGATAAACTTTACTTTTATAAATCCTCGCGAGAAAAATTACGTTTTGTTAGATCAGGGAGCCAGATGGCCAATGAATAGGTCCTTATTTAATACAATTATGTCGGAAAAAAGTATAAGATTCTAGCTTTCTGTTTAATTTAGATTGCATTTAGATCGATTTTAACCAATTTATTTATTTTCAGGTTTATACGAGGATAACGCGTAGAAATTTTTTAAAGAAAAGCAAAAATTTGCAATTTTTTTGTTTCGTTCATTTTAAGACAAATAGGTACAATTTAATAAAAATGTTTTAATCTACTTCAAACAAAACCGGCTACGTACGAATGAAAGGGTAAGATTTTTCCAATTTACCGTATCAACAACGACAATACGCAACTTTGGGACAGCTTCACATGATTTAGAATAATATTAAAGATGAATCAGAGTCAACGTATTGTGTTCAGTCTGCCTCATCGACTGCACAATATACATATACTCGAATTCAGAAAGAATGACAATTTTTTAAATAAAAAAAATTCTCGTGTGTTGAAACGAGATTAAACTTTCTTGTTCGTATTTCGGATTCGTACACTGAAAGAAATGCGTTTTATTCTTTATTAGAATTCTATATACCATTATAAGTCCATTGTATACTATATGTGACAGTTAAACAGGTGAATATTGGATATAAAACGCGTATTGCTAGCACAGTTGTATAGTGAATAGTATTATTCTTTATTAAATTATTGTATAACTAGTATACAACGTTTTTTATACCCTTTACAAAATAATAGCAATAACAGTTATTAAACTGTTCCATATCGGTATTATAACATCTAGTACTGGTTATAAGTTTTATAATATAAATGTATTAAACTGTTGTATACTCTGTATGAGTTAAAAATATATGTCATTAAGTTTTCAGAAATTTTATTGGATAACTGTAATTACAAGCTAAGGTTCTAATGTAAACATACATAAAACATACTTTTAAGCATTAAAAATGATGACAAATCGCTCCCAGAACTGTCCAGTTTATTTTCTTAGCAACGATGCACCCGTATTTTCTTGTATTACATGAGAATTTACACTATAACTCTTCCACCTTAAGAATGAAGCATCCCCAGAAAGGTTGAGCTTCTTTCCATATAATTTTATTTCCTCTGGTTGATTGACTTTATACCCATGCTCTTCTTTGTCGCCTTCTGTTCCTCCATCTTATGTAAAACTTAACATCAGCGATTTCTAATAGGACCTACAAAATAATAATTTTTAAGATTTAGACAAGATTTACATTTGAGAAAACAAAACAATTACAAGCCATAAAAGTTAGATACTTACATAATAATTTTCCATTTCACACAACGCGATATGATCATGTATCCCACAAAACATGTGCATATACTGTCCATTTTCATCAAACTAGATGTGTGTAAGTCGATGCACAGCGGATTGTCGGAAATTTTACGATTGTTGTATTTTCTCTTCTTGAGCAAAGATAATAAAGACGTTGTGGTTTTGTGTGTTTATTTTGACAATGATTGAACATGTATGGACAATAAAAGTGGACTGTATAACATAGTTGAGTACCGTTCTGCTTCATGTATAGCATGATGCTACTGAAATCTTGAAGGGATGAGCTCGTGCGGCGAACCCTAAATCAGCGGCTGGAATAGCCAGGTTTCTTATTGAGTCGGCGCACTTCGCTCTCGGGTCTGACATATGATTATTATTACAAGATTATGAATATAACTTAACAACGATCATAACCGATTATGCACCGAGAGGCGACGATCACTTAACCATTATAAGATGCGTTTTACACGTTAAAAACGGAAACATATTCAGTATAAGAACGAATAATTCTGTTAATACAATTGTTATATACAAATTCGGATACTGGTCTTTATACAACAAATCTTCCCTACTATACAATTGCAATATAAAGTCTATAACACCTAATAATATATAAGTAATTCATTATAACCTTTATTTCATAGATGCATAAGGTGTATTAAGCACCTTCCAGTTAAACTGATTGATAATGAGTATGGAGATGATTGCTTTTTTTTTCATAAAAGTTGTATATTGGTTATAAAAGTTTTAATATGCGCTATACACATTATTCTAGATAAGCCCATTTCTTTCAGTGTAATAAAATCATTTTCTTTACAGAACTGCTGTGGTAAAAGCTCTACTCCCAACCTCTTTACTTTTTGCTAGCCTCAACTTTTACATTCATATTCAGATATAAATTATTAATCCACCCCAAAAATGGGAAGGGGTAAAAATCTAAATCCTTACCGACGTCCTTCATTAACACCGGCAGGCGCTTGTGGCTTATTCTAATCCCGGGGCTTATAGAAAACAATAAATCGCGATCGTTTGCCGGGCTCTCGGTTTTTGCTCAAACAATTCCGGTAGTAAAAACCTCCCAAATCCGTAAACAGTGCTCGAAAAGGTAATTACTAAGCCGTGAAATTATCTCCTCAGTTATTCGGGACGGCACTAACTTTTCGAGGCAGGTATTTAGGGCCCCCAAATTCGGTTGCTGTCTAGTTGTTTTGCCTCTTCCCCTCCTAACCATTATTTACTGTCGTTCGTCATGCTCGCTAAATACTCGACTAACTACACGGCGGTGACTGGCGCGATGGGAAATTTAGTTTTGCGGGGAAGAGCTCTTTGCGGCGGTTTTTCTTGGGCAAGTTTGGCGTGATGGACGAGGATGCGGGTGAAAAACGTGTAAACTTGTATAAACATGTTGTCTAAATAATGAATTCTTCGAGAACACTTAAGGCATGTACACACCAAGGTCATTAGTGCCCCCTTTATTAGCCGTTATGTCAATTAAATTGAAGAATCTCTTTTAATTTTCCTTTAACGTTATTGTTTTCCTTCTACAAAATTTCACCCGAACCCAAGGAATTCAATGTGTCCATAAAACACTGACTGCATGAATTATTACATTATTTTTCAGATATTTTATTCAACAATCCCAGTTGCAACATTAATTCCTTTTCCATCCACTTAAATTTTTCTTATTCGGTTATTGAATATATCAAGTGTATATCAAAGCGTCCATCTTATAAACTTCCGCAATACGCAGTTGTATTTTATCAGTGAGAGCCTTTGTGAGATGTGTACATAAAGGCAGTTTAGTTAATAATCCATGTGAGTGAACGCGTGAACGGATGTAATAAGTAATGCTTACATAGCTGAAGAGACTTTATGTGACTGTTAATTTTCACAAAAGTGGAAAATGTCTGTTGAAGTTACCTCTAAAGAGAGAGAAAATTAAGTACGATATTCTAATGTTGCGGATTGCTGTACATGGGAAAATTAGCGAAAATAAAAGAGAAACTCGAAGTCCTATCCGCTAGATTATTGTAAAATTGTCCAAAGCAACATAATACAAGACACCTCTCATCTCGTCAGTCAAAACTTTTATTAGCTAACTTTTCTAGGTATTTTAAAAAAATAATTTATGAATTTTCACTTTAATTTTACTTTTAAATCGCAATTAAATATCTAACAAAATATTGAAAAAACAAGTTTACTTTGCCTTAATTTGTAAAAAAATAACTTTTAATAAACGATAGCTTCATTTATTTATTTAATGATAGTAAAATAATTCCGAAATTGAAATTTTAATTAATATTTCGTTTAACAATAATTTTTGTGACATTTTTGTAAATTAAACAAAATTAATTATAAAAGATGCATTTTTTCTGGGGTTCAGGGCTATTCTACGAATTCGTAAATATGCCCATTGTTATTTTTTCGTCGAGCTACCCCAGTTTAAAAAAAAATAAGTTTCTACGATGAATAGAAGCCGAGATATTGCAAAATTTACAGCGCGCACTTATTTGAACTTTGGATTTAACTTTTCTCGCCCGCGCGACCGCTTGGACGAGCTTCCCCCACCACCACGCCGCCGGCCGCCGGACAGTTTACTTAGCGAGTACCTTCTCTTTAAAGGGCTCGTGAGTCGTTAATTTTCCACATTTTTCAATGCAATTCACGGGAAATCGTAGTTTACGTCGTAAACTTTATTTTGCGAAAAATTCAAGTCTTAATATTTAT